CATAGTGGGCATTTACAAGGCTGAAGTGCTGATCCATGATGCCAAACAAGCATAATACAATTTCCTGAATAAAGGGAGCCAATGATTGTCAGTAACTTTTTTGGTTTTTGTAAAGAAAGTACTCATTTATGAGTTCAAGCTTTGTAGATCATTTGTAATATATGATACTTGCATATTCATATAAAGTAGTAACTGTCGTGCTAATCTATAATCTTATCATCAAACAATCACAATGTTATAGTTAATGGCTTGCACAGAATGCAATGCATAGAAGACATCACGCCCAAGCAGTTTAGGTGTATAACACTAGTCCTACAAAAAAGTACAGACAACTCAAGTAACATGTTGAAGACTTTGTCACAACTTTGCGAATCCAAAATCTCTATTCTCCATAACAAACAAAAATAATTCCAAGCATAGATCATTTTCATATATTTAGCATTAGCAGTGAACTCGTCAAACATCAAAATGTCTTTAAAGCCTAAGGTGGAGCCCAGCTCCAATCAGCTTTGAATTTTAATTTCGGGGAGTCACACATGCAAACACTTTTTAAACTTAGCTCTCTTTTATCCTCTATTACTACCTATTTGTTGATCCACTATGCTCATAGATCTTCAGCTTTTAAAATCATTTTGCCTCATATTTGTAGTTGGTGCATATGGCCTAGAAATCTCAAAAGAGACTATGCCTTTAGCTCCTCAAGACTGAATTCTTTATTTGATTTTTTTAATTTTTGATTGGCTGCATTTATTTATTAAAAAACATTTTAATTACAAGAACTCTCTCTAACATACAAAACAGAACCTAATGATATAACAGATGAAGCTCTGATGCTGAGTTTCATATGCAGCTCTAGTAAGATGTTTCATCAAATCCCATGTATACGAATTCATAAATTTGTTAAGGTGCTGTGTTATCAAGTTCAAAACTTGATCCTAATAGTATTTTTTATAAGAAAAACATGATCACAATATGTGAAAATATGCAATTCGAAAAACATCACCAACGCCCTTAACGAGGCAACCTCAGCACCAAACAGCCATTGAGTAGAATTTACAGGAGCCCTTCATGAAACAAGCTCAATCATTACATATAAGGTACTTTATCCAGAAGCCCTGATGAAGTACGTTGAGGTAGTCAATTTTTTCCCTCTCTGTAAGGAGATTATTCAAATGAACAAGAGCGATGATAAGGCACCCCTGTCCTCCTATGGAAACTGGCTAAGGTAGATGTTAGATACAGGGCACTATGGTATCCACGGATTTATAGCAAAACTTTGAATAACACTGATTAAGAATATCATATCCATTCTCCTTGGCATGAAATAAACACTGGGAATAGTTTTCTTTTTTCATGTATGTGGTTTTTCACATCTTTAGGCTGCAACTCTTCAGATTTTATTCTTGTCTAACTTGTTTTTTGTCTCTACCAAACTCCGCAAAGGATAATTATAGATTCATACTGGCACTCTAATTTGACTTTTCTAGATATCAAGCCGCTAACTTACAGCATACAGCTAGCTAACTTAATTTGGATTTGTTTCCAAGGCAAAACATCCTCTGCCTGGTGGAGATAATCTCCCAAGTCGCCTTATAAGTCGCTCTAAAACTGCACAATGACATCTACAGCCGTATTAAACTTTTCTAACAAAATCAAGTCTATCAACACAAGCATGCTCAAATCGGTCATATCGAAAGCATGAACTACCTTGAGACAAATTTGGATCCCCACGCAATACAAACTGTTCAAACAAAATAAAAATGCTCAAAATGCAATGAAACACACTTCAATGGAGAAATTTCTAGCGACCCACATAGATATGCAAACAAAAATCGTTGGGTTCTTTTACAGGCACAAAATTGGTTGATTGAAATGCAAGAGAAAGATATATTAACATTCAAAACTAGGGATCCATAGAAAACACAACACTATTTTGAACTCATAGGAGAAGATTATGGTAAGTAAAGCAAACATTAGGGAAAATTAAAGGAAAAGTTTGAAAACTTATGCAGATAGAGATGGCATGGCAGCAACCAGTTGCAAGAAAACAAAGACGAACTGGATGTAACATTATAGCCAAACCAAACGCACTGAAAATGAGAAATGGGATTGAAAAGGAAAGAGAGAAGGGTACCGCAAAACCAGTGAGAACAATTGGCTTGACAAGGAGTGTCGAAGTTGCCATGGCAGACCGAGCACATATCGCTGCCTGGAGGATCGTCCATTCCGATCTCTCTCCCTCTTTCTCGCTCTCTTGGGTATTAAAGCCCGCTACTTCTTTTATAGAGTTTATAAAGATAAGTGACAAACTTTTCTAAACTCTTATGATAGAGTTCTATAGAGTTTTAACTACGTTTTATAATTTATTTCATGATTATAAAACTCTTTGATTTCCTACTCCCACACGCCAACTCCATTCTCTTCTCTCTCTTCCTCATCACTCCCTCAATCCAAACTCTGCTCCTTAGTTGAAAGAAACTGCCGGAAAACCTAAATATCAGAGCCCAAAAAAGTGAAGGAATACCAATGATTATCTGAATATCAGAGCTCAATCCCTAAGTCAGGATAATACCCATACTCATAGTCATCGTAAGTGGGTTTTGAGTTTATGAGGAATGCTCATTGCATAGCTACTAAAGTTTGCGTTTTGTAGGCTGAGGAATACCATAGATACACTAATTGCAACTATGGTATTGAATGGCTAATGATGATTGAATAACAGAAAATCTGTTCCTACAAAAGAATCTACCTCCAAAGACATGAAGTTCAAGTACTAATTCATTTTGGGATAAAATATAATTTGAAAGACCCGCATGATCGGTTTGCTGAGAAACACTTTGGAGGGAAAAAAGTTCAGGTACTTGGTCTTTCTTTGTGGGGGAAATGATTTCAGATCTCCTTCCTTTCTTTTGGTCACCAATTGCTTCTAAGAATTATGTTAATTTTTCTTTTGGGCCTTTGGCAGCAACGATGATGCAGACTGAATTGAGGAGAGAGACGACGTTTTGTTAAAGAGTTGAAAAGTCATTAGGAAATGGATACTATTTGAATCCTTACCCGTAAGTGTTACTTTTTTTTTTGCAAGTCAAAGTTTGACACATATACAAAAATAATTTATCAAAAACAGAAAAAGAAAAATTTATGCAAACATATCACATTGTCATTTACAAGAAATTAGCAAGACTTTTGGTATTAACAATTAACTTTAAAAGTATACCAAAGTCATTTACTTACCAAACTCTTTAAAAGTTATTAATTTTTTGGATACAACCAAACTTTTAAAAACCTTTTAAAAGTCACAATTGAATACCACAAGAATTTATTAAAATCTGAATTGGATACCCTCCAACTTTTTAATTCTACGAAAGTATTTAATTCTCCACAAAGTGTGAAATGAATATAACCCCTAAGGTTAGTATGTACAAACATAACCAACGAACCGCCAAACTGATTAGTACTAACAGTGATATTAGTGGCGGATCCACGATTCAAAACTCAGCCCAGCCAAACTTACATTAAAAAATGGTACAAGTGAATTTCATTAATTAAAAAAAAATACACATAATCAAGGGACGTAATGAGCCTTACTATGAAAATCCCCAAATTATAATTCATTCTTAATTAAACCCTATAATAGATTACAACATCTTAAATTTGAAGATGCATATATGTATTTTAAGAGAAATCCAATAGGAGAAGATAATTAAAGAGAAGATAATTAAAGAGGAGAGAAATTTTGAGTTATGCATACATGTGGGTTGCTTTTTGGGTGGGCATAGGTATGTTTCACATGGGTTGGACTCTTACGTATGGATATTTTTTCTTTTAAAAAATTTTGGGGTAGGCAACAACCTACCTTGCCCTAGGCATAGGACCGCCCTTGACAGTAATGATCCACTACATCACAAATTACGTTGATAGGGGTGGCCACAATTTAGTTTGGTTCGCTTCAAGTTATAAATTACATATCGAACAAATATAACATCACTCGATTAGTTGGGTTGTTGGCAATGCTGTTTTGGTGAGTCGATTGAAGAGGTGTCCATGATTCCTCTCTTTTTTTTCTTTTGTTTCCCCTGTGTTTGGTTTAGGCCCGAATCTTTTTTAAAGATTACACTATTGTCTATGCCTCTAACATTTGGGTTTCAAATGGTTTTGCTATCCTTTGTACTATTTTTATGGTGCTTCTAGGGTCCTATACGAATTTTTTTTTCAATGATCTAAACCGTGTCTTCATTCATACATTATTCTTGCAAAAATAAAATCTGACAAATTAAAATTCTAAAAACTAGACGGTTCAGATCATTGCAATACAATATGTGGTGGGCCCTACAAAAGTGTTCCTTAAATAAGCTTATTTGAAGAATTCCTCAAATGAAGTTATATATATATACACACTAGCGAAACTAGCCCATGTAGCCTTTAATATATATATTGTATGTATTCTAATATGATGCACTCCATAAAAGCTTAGTAGTCCACATAAATGTAGCCTAGTAACCCATTATCTACTCAGTTTCGTAATCTTTAATAAACACTTATGACTTTAACTGTCTACCTTTTACTATTTTCTCCCAATGTTTTCTTAGTTTCTCGTCAATATTCATGTTAACGGCTATCATATCACCCTTTACAAAGTGGTTTATATGATTTAATGTACATTTTTATTTATAGAAATAGAAAAACTATAGAGACTGTAAGTACAAAAGGCAAAATAAGCATTAGATTTTAAGAATTGAAATTATTAATTACATGAGGATAATATGGTAAATTCATTTTTTTTATATTAAAATTAAAATTAAAAACAAAATCAGATAATAGGTCCTATTTTTATGGAACACAACTACCCATATTATCTTTTTTTAATTCTAAAAATAAAAATAAAAATAAAAAAACATGTGCCAAAAGGGCTAGTATATAATTATGAATTTTTCAATGCAGACTTTGTAAACAGGGCGTCCGTTATCTCAAGTCAATTAGGCATGAGAAGTCTATTTCTTTGTCATTTTTTCGTGTACGCTGGCCCTTTAATTTTCCCACCTCGCAGTACTGATATCTTCATATACCGTCACATGGCATACCCGTTTAGTGGAGGTTTTCTGCTCCCCATCGTGCGGTCAGAATTAAGATAACCCGTCAGACCGTGGTTGGTTGGAAGTGGAACCGAAGAAGAAGAAGAAGAAAATTTCCATGAATTGTACGGCCTTCAATCTCACGGCCAGTAGTTCCTTTTTCCCGGAGAAGAATTCCCGCCTTATAGCAAGGACCCGGACCCATGATTTCGGTTTTACCAGGAAAAGACTGAAACGATGCCGCATGGTTGCAATGGCCACCTCCTTGGAGTTGGAGCTCCCGCTCCTTCCCTTTAGCTTGAACGAGGTTGATTTTGCTTAATTATTTTTAAACTTAATTAATTAAGCTCTGTTTTGTCTCGAGCTCTCTGTAGTTTTCTAGCTCACTCACTCTCATTACGAAACCAGTTGTTTGTGTTTTTTGAGCTTAAAAAACCAGATTAATTTAATTAAAAAGGGTTCCAAGATTTTTATTTTCTGTTTTCGACATTAGATATTTTCATAGTAACAAACATATGTCAAGGATAGCAAAAAATTGATGCATTGGGACCATGTCTTTTGTTTTTGCTGTTTGTTCACAAATAAGATGATAATTTTTGTATGGTGGGTTGGTTAAATGATCAATTTTATAATACAGGAAACAGATGTTTATGTTGTTTTTATTTTTCACACAATTTCTTCTAATTGAGGGTATGTGTGTTTCAACTTCCATCCTCGTTCTTTTGAAATTTCAGGTTCTTGTTCCCTCTGAGAGTAAAACACTGCACTTATATGAAGCAAGGTATCTGGGTCTACTGGAGGAGGTACTGTATAGTTTATATTAACTGCATTATCCTTACTCTTTTTTTATATAAAGATTTTTTACCATCATTGGTCTTGCACCATTTTCTCTGCTCAGATGATTGCATAAATCAGAGTGTTGAGTTTTTTTATTTTATCTCTATTCGTTGCAGTCATTGACGAGTAAGAACAAGCTTTTTGTGCATTTTGTGTTGGATCCTATCATAATTGAAAATTCAACAGAAGAAGCATCCTTTGCAGCCAGAAATGGTTGTTTGGTTTTTATAGAAAATGTAAGCTTCCCAACTTTGACTGAATTTCCAAATATGTGAAGGACCTTATGTACTAAAATCATTCCAGTATTCTGCAGGTTGAGCGTTTAGAAGTTGGAGCATTAGTCTCTATTAGAGGAATTGGTCGTGTAAAGATTGTGAAATTTGTGCAGGTTAGTAACAATAGATTTGGTCTTCAACATATCATATTCTGATAAAGATAGATATGTATAGTTATTATCTTAGAAGATCTTTAAATGAGGACCTGTTTCTCATTCTTTAGTGAAGATAGGGACGGATAAGATGCATCCCAAAGACGCAATGCATGTCAACCATTCATATCTCATCTTATGGTTGAAAGTTCAAGTCTTCGTTTACGGACCTAATTAGAAGATAATTCTTCACATTCGCATAAATATAGGAATGCATACATTCGCATTCGCACAAATAGGCTAAAAAGTTATTTTGGTTTGTATAAATAGACAGAATGCAGGCTTGATAAGTGATTCCCAGCTGCTGTCCAAGATAATTCAAACTTCTGCTGCCATTGCTTTTAAACTTCAACATAAGGCAAGGGCTCTATGAGTCCATACTCTACAAAAACACGAGTTACTTCTGTGATCAATAAATACGTATATTAGGTTCTTCAACTTCACTTGCATTACACTTATTATGTGTGATCTTTAGTTTGCTCCTTGGAGGAGGATATTAGGAGTTTTTGATGTGACATTGAAACTGAACAAAGTTGGGCATATGAAGCTAGTCCTTTGTCTTGGGAATGATAATTGAGTTTAAAGGACTACTTTTGGGCATGAACAAACTGTTTTTAGAAGTAGCTTTAACTCTTATGCCTCTTAAAATGTTGGTTTGACATGCAGGCAGATCCTTACTTGAAAGGTGTTGTCATACCTGTACAGGACAGGGTTCCTGACAGTGTCAGCAAATTACGCCCAAAAGTTATGCAAGTAAAAGAGGCTCTTTATAGTTTAAATAGTTTGGAAATCAAACTCAAGGTGTGTTGCTCTCTCTCTCTCTCTCTCTCTCTCTCTCTCTCAGCAAACCCTGTTATCTATGATCAGGGCATGTTGAATTGCTCCTTTTTCTTTTATTTTATAACTTTTATGTTCTCATATATGTATCCTGTCTAATAAGGTTCCAACCTAAAAATGCATTTTACAGCCATTAGATTAGATATGGTCCACGGACGATTGAGATGTGTTTTCTCAACATAAGTGTTTATTGGATTGGGAATGTATACCCATGCAATTGTTGACCCTTTTCTGCTCATTTATCTGTTCTACTAGGCCCCAAAGGAGGCACAGTTGCAAACTAGAATTGCCAATTCTCTAATGTGGACTGAAAAGGAACTACTCTTAGATTGTCATGAAGCTTTCTTTCCTTCATTGGCTGAGCGTGTATCCTTCGCAGCACTTCAACCGGTATCAGGTAAATGTCCCTTCTGCATCTCTATTTCTTGTTAGTTGTTACAGATTATGCAGTTTTAGTTCCTCAATTGTACTGCCTGAGTTAATAACTCCAACCCATTTCAGGTCGATATGTTTCTTGACCTAAATTTCTCTTCTTTGACACTGTAGTAAGCAAAATAGTTTTTCATTCTATATATTAATTAATAACACATGAAGTCTCAGTTAATTTTCCATGACTGATGTAGCTGTAAGTTTTCTTTCTGTATATTTGCGAGAACTAGGACTGCATGTTTTTGTGCAATGTAGGCCCTAATGGAAAAATTACATGCTTAAATATCTGGATGTTTATTATGACCTTGTCATAAAATTTGAGAATAGAATTTTTCAGGGTTTCGATTTTATGTGTGAGTGCCAAACTATGTTATTGTCAAGAACATAGTAATGTGTTTATGACTCAACGAACAAATTCCTCTCTTAAACTTGTGACATGCCTGAGGCCTTGAAGATCTCCCTCATGCACATTAGGCCAAAGTTCTTACAGGGATGTCCTTTGTTACATCTAATTTGCCAATACTCTGTCTAAGCTTCTCGCTTTTTCTTGGAAGATAAACCTTTTAGGAATGCACTTCACTATTTTCTGGCTTGTCTGGGCAGAAAACTATTTGCAACTCTTCAACTACGATTGCAGTGGTTCCTGTTAAATGACTTGCATAGTCCACCAGAAAACCTGTTGGAGAAGGCACCAGAGTACATAGAACTATGTGATAAATGTTCTCTTTTGACACTGCAGAAGGTTCAGAGGGGCTCCCATGGCTTTTACCATTCCTAGCATTTCATTTGCAATTTGAGCTCCCTTTGCTCCCCCGCATCTTTTCATATATGTTTTACCTGTAATGGCTAAGTTAAAAAGTTTAACTTTAAGCATTACTTTAAAAATAAAAATATCCACCTTTAATTGCAAAGCATCATAAGTTTAAGTGGCCAACGCTTATTTGTTCGTTTTTCAGACTGATCATTAACACCATTATAACTGTGGAGTTTTCCTTGTACTGTATGTCAAAAATTCATTCTACGCCTTGCTAGTCCTCTTTGACGACATTTATATCCTCATCCTGATGACTAGTTGAGTACGCTACCACTTTAACAAATATTTCATATAGAATGAAAAGTAGGAAGGCTTTTAGTAGGTTACCACTCATGACTATTTGATATAGAAGCTGAACCTATGAAGCATCATACTGATATACATTTCCTTAGCAACTATTCATATGAATTTTTCTTTTCTTATTATCTATCAGGATCAACTGAATCGGAACTTCTGAAGCTGCAGCAAGAGAAGTTAAGGGCAATGGATCTCAGAGACTCCTTCCAGAGGCTAGACAATTCCCTAGAATTTGTGAAAGATAATATCTCCAGGGTTGCAGCCAAGCTGGCTATACAATCAGTGGAGATGCAGTAAGTTGTGGGATTTTGTATTCGGCCTTCCGGCATCTCACAAGAGAGGCCCGAAATCACAAAGCTCCTTTGGTTTGGGCAGCCAACTTACTTGGCTGAGATTATGTTGTATCATTTGATTAGGAGGATAGATGAATAAATCGGAGCTGAGGGGGTTGAGGGGTTATATATCCATCAAGGCCTCAGATATGATTGTGAGTAAGGCAAACAGGTCATTTGGATATTTCTTAGTTATTTATGTGTCGCTCATAACTCCATTAATTGATGTATACGTTTACTATCACGCACATAATAATTGTTTATAAATAAATAAAAGTGGCGGAATGAGTGGATGGATTTTATTAAGTTAACGGTATTAATATAATGGTTAAGTGAGTGAACGCATGTCAAAATATTAGATATGGGACAAAGGGGACAAGGTAACAGAATAAACGGCCATGACACTTTTCTCGGTTGGTAATTGATTTTCAGTCTCCAAAAAAATGTATATAAATGCTTACTAGAAGACATTTAAAACCAAAAGAAATAATTTTTTTTTTTTGAGGCGGGCGTTGGTTTGAAGAAAGAAAGAAAGATATAATATCTATCTAGCAACAAAGTGGTTAAGGAGAACGAGGAGAGGGCGTTTGTTTAGAAGCAGAAAGATGGGATTATACTCGACTGGAAGTGGAGCCGGAAACCCACTCTCTTCCGCTTCCATGAGCACCACCTCTCGTCACCTCTTGCTTCGAAAGCCAACCCCTCGCCATCACCAACTTGGTTTCCTCTCAACTTTTGCTTCTCCTCTTCTGCACACCTCTTCAGGATCCGTACGTTATTTTTCTCCATCTTTTCAGTTTTATAAATACCTTTTTTCTTTTCTTTTCTTTTTCTTTTATGATTTGTGGTTCTGGGTTCAATTCTGAAATGCTTATTATGTTGAAGAAAGGAAATGGTGTAGTTATTTATTTATGTTCAAGCAGAAACTAGATTGACAAAGAATCTAATAGGCTTAAGTGTCATTAGTTGTGTCAAAGTTTCCAGCATTTAGTAAACTTGACATTGCCAATTTAACAGTCTTTAATTTAATTTGGGGCAGTAGGCCTGAACTCAAAGTGAGACAGATTCATGGGTTTGGTCAAGTTGAAACAGAATATAAACTCGTGACTGGCTCGGTTTATGAGCTTGCTTAGCACAGTATGCATAGGTAGATAATGCTTCAGATTTCATTGTTTTATTTAAGCTTCATTATAAGGTGCTGGCTCTCTTGCGAAACCCATTTTGGCATCCACGGAACTTGCAACTGACATCGTTTGTGTAAATTTCTTCGTTTTACTGAGAAAAGTTGAAAAACATGTGTGGAACATGATCTATATATGTGCAGTTTTTGTATGTGCATCTTCACTTCTGCATTGCCTTTATTGAAGTGTTTCCTCTTCCTTGCCTTCTTTTTATTATTCTATTAACAGATAACAAAGCCTTTTATTATTTTAATGATTCTTAGATAAAGAAATCACACTATATTAGAAGATGAGAGCTCTGTTTTAGCATCATTCATATCTTGTACATCTATTTAAATATTTAATCATTGAATTGATCATATTGATAACTTGTGATGAATGTTGAACTGTTCTTATTCATTAACTTTGAACATTTTATTTTCTGTGTTCTATAAAGAAGTACTACCTTGACTGTAAATCTCAGTTTGTGTTCAGAGAGCATGCAATTCAAGTTGTCAGAGGTCATCTACAGAGAATATAGGCAGAAAAATTACTTGTAGCCTACTGAAAGTGGAAGACGACGTAAATGACGAGTCATGTGAGTTAGTCAGTGGAGTGGAACTTTCAGTTGGTGAGGGTGTTGATAGCATCAATGCTCATCTCTTCAAGGCAGTGAAAAATAATAATGGAACTGGGATACTTCTCTTGTCCGATATCTTTGGATTTGAAGATCCATCCACAAGAGAGTTTGCCTATCGTGTTGCGTGCAATGGTTACAAGTATGTTGCTTAACCTTGAACTAAAATTAAGGACTATTTATATATAAGTTTGTGTGATGCTGCAAGGGTACGCATGTTGTTCAAATTTCATTATGTACTGACCAGTTTACAATTTATGCACTGCTTTTAACTCCAATGGCAATGCTGGTGTTCTTGTTAGAGTTGCCATTAGTAGTCCTTTAGGGCAATCATTCTTCAAGATTTCTCAATTCTATATACTTACTTTGTCCTTCTTAAAAAAAAAAAATGCAGTGTTTTGCTTCCAGACCTATTTCGTGGAGATCCATGGACAAAGGATCGACTAGAGGATCGACCAAAGAATCTTTTTGATAAGTGGATCTCGGAACAAGAACCTCAGAGGGTTGCAAAAGACATTGCCACATCTGCAAAATGGATGGTTGATGAATTTTTGGCTGCAGGAATCTCAAAGAAGCTTGGCTTGATAGGATTCTGCTTTGGAGGTGGCAAAGTGATTGAAGTCCTAGCCCAAGACCAGGGCGCTTATTTTGGCATTGGGGTCTCCTTTTATGGAACAAGGATCGATACGTCTGTGGCATCTAATATTAAGGTTCCGATCTTGTTTATTTCCGGGGACAACGACCCACTCTGTCCCGTCAACGTCCTAGAGAGTATTGAGAGAAGCATTGGCAGGGGGTCCAGGGTGGTAGTTTTCAAGGGTAGAGGTCATGGCTTTGCTCACCGACCTCAATCGTTTGAGGAAGACGAAGATGCAGAGCAGGCTTTCATGATGATGAGAAATTGGCTGAATGATGGCTTGGTTGCAAATACCTGTTAGATTTCAGAAAACTGATGTATATATTGATCATAGAGCAGGTGAAAGTGTTACAGCTGCTGGCGGTGGTGATTGAAGGCCATCAGTTGTAATACATGCTATGTGTAGTTCCATATTTGATCCTAAGATGCCAATTGACATTGGTGGTAAAGCCACCTCAGCACGTTACTGGAGACTTCAATTCAAGTATGCTTCTTTGGGTTTGGATAATTTATCTGTCTAGTTGATCATAAGATGATAGTTTGTAATAATTAACTTCATGAGTTATATTACTTAATAAATAGTAATTTCTTTTTTCTTTTTTCTTTTTTTGCTTTAATAAAAATTTTAAATACTATTTATTCACTAAGTAAATAATAACTAAAACATAACCACTAATTAAAGTAATTAAAAAAGAGAAATCCATATTATGCTACTTCAAGGGTATTGCCGCGCGGCTATACTTATAAAATATTCTATTTTTGGGGTATAGCCGCGCGGCTATACATTTAAAATCTTCTACTTGTTGCGTATAGCCGCGCGGCTATACCTTTTAAACGTATAGCCAATCGGCTATACTCTATGAATATATTAAAATATTTTACGTATCGCCGTTCGGCTACGTTAAATATTCTATATTGTAGTATAGCCGTGCGGCTACACTGGTAAAATTTTCTATCTTTGAGTATAGCCGCGCGGCTGTACCGTTAAAACTTATAGAGTATGCCGGGCGGCTATACCCGTTTGGTAAGCTGGACTGGACTGGATATTTTCAATTAAAATGGACATGAGTCCTAGCCATTGTTTGGTGGACTTAAAGTGTGTCTAGGACTGGATATTGACTTTGGATCCAAGTCCCAAATAATTGGGGCTTAGAAACCCAACCCCAGACGTGGGTTTCGAAGCCAGAGAGCACGCCTCCAGCCATCTCTCTTCTTCTCTCTCTTCTCTCTCTTCTCTGTTCTCTGTCTTCTTCTTCTTTCTCTCTTCCCCTCTACTCTTCTCTTCTCTTATCTTCTTCTCTCTTTCTTCCCCTCTTCTCTTCTTTTCTCCTCTTCTCTCTTCTCTCAGATCCTCTCTCTCTTCCCCTTTGCCAAATCTTCTTCGTTGCCATATATAGACCTCAGATCTTGAATGAAAGGCATATCGTGGAAGAAAAAATTGGTGAAAGGCAGATTCATAACTTCTTCCTCTTTATTTATATATATAATTTTGCAATTTTTTGTTCTTTGAGATATGAAGGGAGGTGGCTGAAAATTCAAGATCTGATAAAGAGTAGGTAAAAACTGGTATTTGGGGAGGGAGTGAAAGCTTGAGTGCTGGCGTCTACTTCTGGGAACCTGCTGCTGCCATCAAACTCCACCTCATGCCTTTCATCTTCTAGCTTTTTATTTTATGTTTGTATTTTTTTGTTGGATTGAAAATTTATTTTGTTGTAATTAATTTGGAAATGAGAATATAAAAATAAATAAATGGCATACTAATCTCAACTTTGGTGTTGTACTGCACCAAACAACTTCTTAAAATCCAGTAATATCCTAACCAGTCCAGTGTAATGTAGAAAGGTTAATCCAGTCCAGTCTAGCTTACCAAACAGGGAGGTTCTATTTTGGAATATAGGGTATAGCCGCGCGGCTATACTGTTAAAACTTATAGAGTATAGCCGCGCGGCTATACTGTTAATCCTTTTCTTTTTTATTTATTTATTTTTTCCCAAAAAAAAACAGGTTCACAATTTAGAGAAACCGACGCCGTTTCGAGGAAGGAGGAGATGAACAGAAATTGCTGAAGGTTGAAGATTTGAGTGGGTGGCACTGGCAAATATTGCTGAAAGTTCACTGTTGGACTTGAGTGGGTGGGTTCTTCACTCACAGTTTTACTTTCTGGAGTTTAATTTGTGCTATTATTTTAGAAAATGCAGGGTTGGGGGTGAGCGGTTAGGGTTTGCCCAACTACAGGTAATATGTCTCTGTATCCTCCTGTTATTCAATTTCACTCTCAATTTGTCATAAGCCGTCCATTTCTGTTTTGGTTTCAATCTTATAGCCTCTTCAATTATTTTCATATGGTAAAATACTGTTTAGTTTTTTATTTTAGGGTTTTTGGTATGAAAGTGGAAGAGAAAATAAAAAGTAAAACTAATTACTGATCGTTTCTAACAAAAGAAAAGTTGAAATCTTTCCATTGAGAAGTTGTCATGAAAGAATATTGTTTTGATATGTTCTTTTCTGGTTACACTAAAGGATCATTATATTCCTCTCATAATGAACCAACACCATAGATCAGGATGTATCAACGCTAGAAGAATAAAACTGCTATGATTCTCATTTTTGGGGGGTTTTTCTTTTGAGCTCTGTTTCTTTTCTCTATTTGGTGCACTGTTCAATTTGGTTTTTATTGCATTTAGTCTTATTTCTATAGAAGATACCCATGAATGGTCATCTGTAATTTCATTTGATTTACAGAAGTCACTAGAACCCCCATTTTCTGTGGTCTCATTTAGGGTTCTGGCTTTTAGATAGTTTGTTAACATGACCCTGTTTGTTTTTGTTTGTTTTGCTAAAGACCCTGTTTGATTTAAGTTTTCACTTTTGTGGTGTGCTAAGTGCTTTGTTTTGGTAATTGTTTCTTCTGTGATTATAAGCAAAATATTTGTTTTGATCATTCATGAAAGAATAAAGTTTCATATACTCTTTTTTAGTTATACTAGAGCATTACAAATATTCCTCTCAACACTATAAATAAGGATGTATCAATGCTAGAAGCATAAAACTGCAACACCACAAATATTTCTTTTGACCTCTTTTTCGTTTTTCTTTTTGGTGCACTGTTCAATTTTGTTTCTATTGCATTCAAGTCTTCTTTCTATAGAAGATACCCATGAATGGTCTCTGCAGTTTCATTTCCTTTAGAAAAGTCACAAGAACCCCTATTTGTTGTTCTAGATTTTAGATAGTTTGTTAATATGACCCTGTTTGATTTAATTTGTCACTTTTGTGGTGTGCTGATTCGTGCTTTGTTTGGTATTGGGTTTGTTAATATGTACTAGTGAAGAAGAGTAGTTGGCTCATGAGCAAATGAAGCATGTCGAAGCTTGAAAAAGCATGAGATCTTCCTCTTCCTCTTCATTCTCAAATGTATTATTCCTCACACGCCGCTCTCTTCATTTCTATTCGCCTTATTCTCCATTCTCTTGCAAAGCTCTTATTCACCGCATCTCAAACACATGTCTCCAATTTAACCCCAAACTCTTGAACTCCCATTTTGTTTCCAAATTACAGCCCAACCATGTCCACCACATCCCTCTCAGCCTCCAATCCAACTCCATTTCCACCCTTCACTTCCTTGATTGGTCCTGCAACTCTCTCGGCTTACACCACTCCCCACAGTCCTTTTGTGCCCTTATTCATCTGCTGCTCCGTCACCGAAAGCTCGCTCCGGCTTCACACCTTTTTGATAAAATGGTACGCCAATTTGGGACTCATTTTCACTTTTTTGCTGCTCTTTCTGAGATTTCTCCCAATTATGCTTCGGATTATAGTGATCTTTATAGCTTTCTGATTGAGAACTTTTGTCGGAATGGGATGCTAGATTCGTCTATTGAGACATTCATTCATATGTGTAAATTGGGAGTTCCGGTGTCTCCTTACGTGTTATCTAGAATGTTGACTTTTTTGGTTGATTCAAATCGTGTCCATGTGATTCTTAATTTATATGGAGAAGTGTGTAAAGCATTGAGAGGACAGTATTTCTGTGTGTATGAGTTTGTTATGGTTGCTCTTCTGAACAAGGGTAAAGTTGAAACGGGTTTGGATTTTCATTCTGCTGTGATTGAAAGAGGCTTTGTGGTTGATATTGTTGCTTGTAACAAGATTTTAAAGCTTCTTTGTAAAGAAAATCTGATTGGAGTTGGGGAAGATTTCTTTAATGCATTGATAATGGGTGGTCCTGCGCCAAATGTGGTGACATTCAGCACGATGATTAACGCGTATTGTAAGGATGGGAAATTGGAGGAGGCCATTAAGCTTTATAAGGTTATGATAGAGAAGGGTGTCAGCCCTGACTTGGTTGTATATAGTATTCTAGTTGATGGTCTTTTTAAGGCAGGGAAATTGGAGGAGGGGCTTCGACTTTTTTCGGAGGCATTAGATAGTGGCATTAAGTTGGATGTAGTCATTTTCAGTTCCGTTATGGATTCCTATGTGAGAATTGGAGACTTGGTGAAGTCAGTGGAGGTCTACGGAAGAATGCTGAAAGAAGGGATCTCGCCAAACCCTGTTAGTTACACCATTCTTATAAATGGTATGTGTCAGGATGGTAAGGTCATGGAGGCTTGTGGCATATTCGGTCAGATTGTGAAGTGTGGTTTTGTGCCATCCATTCTAACTTACAGTAGTTTGATTGATGGAATGTGCAAATTGGGGAATTTAAAGGATGCATTTTACCTGTATGAGAGTATGATCAAGACTGGCTATGAACCTGATATTATTCTTTATGGTGTGCTAGTAAATGGCCTCTGCAAACAGGGGCTGATGGGTGATGCTCTTAGGTTCTTCTTTCAGGCTGTTTATAGGGGTGTAAAGCCCAATGTCTATACTTTTAATATGTTAATAGATGGTTTCTGTAGGTTAAAAAGACTAAGTGATGCTGTGAAGGTGTTCATCCAAATGGGAGTTTATAACATAAAACCTGATATGGTGACGTATACTGTGATTATTAAGGGTATCTCTGAAGCAGGGAGATTAAAAGATGCGTTAGTATTTTTCTTCCAATCATTAAAGAAGGGGTTCTTGCCTGATGTTGTAACGTATTGCACACTAATTGATGGTTGCTGCAAGCAGAAACATGTATATTATGGACTCTGGATTCTAGAGATGATGCGAAGAAATGGAGTAAGTCCTGATATTGCCATTTATAATGTTCTCATTAATATGCTTTTCAAAGAAAGTTATTTAGAAGCTGCACAAGAACTCTTTGAGCAACTTACTGAAAGTGGGCCAGAACCTGACATTGTTACGTACAACACAATGATTTGTGGTTATTGCTCTCTGAGAAGGTTAGATGCAGCCGTTCAACTTTTTCAAAAGCTGATACAGGGACAGTGTAAACCCAATGCCATTACTTGTACTATACTGATTGATGCTTTTTGCAAAGAAGGTAACATGGATGATGCCATATTGATGTTTGATAAAATGCTGGAAAAGGATCCCCAACCTAATTTGGTCACATATAGTTGTCTTATTGATGGTTATTTTAAATCTGAAAACATGAAAAGTGCATTTGAACTGCACGAAGAGATGCTTAAAAACATCTCTCCCAATATAGTCAGTTATAGCATCCTTATGGATGGTCTTTGCAAGAGAGGGCTAATGGAGAAAGCATCCCTTGCGTTTCATTGTGCTATAGAAAGGGGTTTGGTGCCTGATGTGATAGCATATGGGATTCTGATTCGCGGTTACTGCAAGGTAGGAAGAATGGCAGAAGCCCTCATTTTGTACGGCCGTATGTTAATTAGTGGCATCATGCCAGACGCTGTCATACAAAGGACGATCACTGAGCATATTCTTGAAGCTGATCAACGGAAATATTCAACCGCCCAACCGCATGATCTGCAGATAAGATCTGTTCTGTAATACAGTGTGCCACTTGGAGCCCTTGTGGTCACCTTTTTCCACCTTTTACCTATCTGGTACTACCTATTAGCTAATTGTTGTACTAACACCTAATTTTCTTTACAGTTCTTTTCGTACTCAACTGTATAGATGTATAATTTAGTTTTTCATTGTAAATGAGGGAGTACAGTATTTTATTGAAGCTAAGTTAGCGTTATTATTGATATCTGGATTCTTGAGGTTAACTGGAATCAGTTTCCTAGATTCTGTGCTCAAATTTGTCGACATTTATATTTGAGTACCCCATAAAAACGAAGACAAAGAAAACTAATTTGATGGATGACGGTAGAGTAAAGGCTATCTGCAAATGCGTTTCATGCATGGTTAACATGTCAAAGAAAAAATACCATGCGTTTCTATTCGACTTCTTCGGTCACAGCTTGTTTTTTCCTTCCGTCTGAAAAAAGTTGGTTCAAGTCTTGCATGGAATTAGGAGCCCTGAGTTTGTCCTCCTGAATTCTTACTTGTTTCAAGATCTCATAAACAAAAGAGTTTACTTTGATGTTAAACTGACATTATACAAACCTAGCCAAGTTGCTCACTGCTCTCTCCCCTGTAACAAAAAGTTCATAACACAAAGGGAATTTATGAAAAGGTAGAGCATATAGAATAAGTCATAAAGATCATTTTCAATTAAAGAAATTTGAAGAAGAACCTCCAAGCCATCATCTCCAAACAGATACAAACCATTACTATCGTTTTGGCTTCCATGGAGAAGTGTCAGCGTATAATCATCCATGGAGAAGTTCTTGTTTGCAACATAACCATCCAATGATTTTTTTTCGTGTCAGATAATCAGTCAATATACAATCGTTGTCTTATGACCTGAGTATCTGTTGGACAATCAAAAAAGACATTTTGTTCATCTTTCAAATCGGACAATCAAAACACATTTTGGTCATCAACCAAGATGACATTCCCAGTTTCTAACCTTGTTCGATTCTTCGTCATCGATGATGCTATGGTGAATAATAGCATAGCAGAATATGAAATGGTCATGGTTGACCAGGTCGTGTTAGAGGCCATATGGATCACAGAGAAGTAAAAACCGAAGTACATTGATTCTGGACTTGTGATAGAAAAAGCATTTTAGTGGTATTTCGATTTTCTGAAATCCTTGATATTTACATAAGCATCCATGTTTTCTTATAAAAGTAGAACAATGCAGCACAACAAATAACTACACGTTTGTTCAGCATTGCCCAGCAGAACCACTTTTCCTGAAACATTATCACCATATTATAGAGAAATAATTGAAATCAAATGGCATATAAACAAGACAGCAAGCGACTTTGCGCATCAAAGATATTTCTGACAAAATTTCCTTTTGCTTACTCACAAACTTCTTCCTAGGAAGTTAAAGAAGTAAGAAAGCTTCCCCCAATGCAATTATTTCTTCCTTTTTCCACATACAAAGTTCGACATAATGACAGGGTTACAAAGCAAAAGGTAACAAATTTGTATGAAGTCTGAAGTAGATCAGGTGATATCTTTATCAATCAAAAACAGTATTTGTACTACTTAATCAAAGCAATTGCAGGCACAAACAGTCTACAAAAACCCGAGTTGAATCCCAAAACTGTGGGTTATCTTGACTTGCATAAATTCAATCTTGTCCGTCCTGGAAACAAGAGGAAAAACTACATCAAATAACTTCCCTGCACAATTCATCCCATTATTATATTACTGCAAAACAATAATGAACTTATATTTATTCTCAGGCAGAAAAAGCCTGAATATTTACGTGAGTTTCAAATGATGTATAAATCAATATACAGCAATCACACACTAAACTCACTTGATTGGCCTTCATTGAAAAGAAATAAAAATAAAGATTCTTGTGAACATATTAAGTTGACTTTTTGTTACCGTAAGAATCTTATTTCCACGAAGATATGTAAGGATTCTTGTGAAAACAAGCTTGAAGATGGAGGCCTAGTGCCTTAGCTCGATAGCCAAACAAAAGTTCTATGAAACTTCAGTAAAACCAATAAAACAAAAAAAACCCCAGAACAAAAGTTCTATACTGCAACAGATTCCTAAACCCATAAAATTTCATAAACCGTAAACCCAGATCATAAATCAAATGCCAAAATAAATGTCAAATGAATGACAACCAAGAGATGAAACCCTCATAATACAACAGAAAAATAAAATATATACCTTCAAATTACAAGGTTATCAGAGCCTGAGTTGTGCTATTTTTTCAACACAAAAAAGAAGAAATTGAAATCAACTATAGGGTTTGAGTTCTAGTTTTGTTCGTTGAAGAGATGGACTGTCTCAATGTGATGCTCAGAAGAAGTTTTTGATGCTTTGGTCAAATGGGTAATTCAGTTGGGTTTGTAAAAAAACAAGGGGAACGATTTCAAAATTCAATGCAGTATGTTCACTTTTCTCAAGGGAAACCAATTGAATGAGGTAGAAATGGGGTTTCCTCAGCAACCCACATGGAAGCTTATAAGCAAGAGGTGTCCTACATCTGAACTAAGGCCATGGAGTCCGTAAAGTATGCGTCCACACAAGCAAGCACCTCAGGCTGTTCAGCGAGGAAGCTCGTGACCATGACTTGGGAAATAAAAGATAATTGATAAAACATCTCCAAGAGTGGGGTCGGATGAGAAGAGGCTCAGGAAGGAGATGGAGGCACCCTCCTTCAATTGTGTGTGTGTGTGTTTTTTCTTTTTTCTTTTTTCTTTTTCTTTTCTTATGGGTTAGGGAGGAGAGATGCTTTTTTATTGTTTAGTTTAGTTTAGTATGAAATGACAGTCTTGCCCTTTGATTGTCAATTTGAGTTTCTTCCCTTAAAATTAAGGGGTGTAGGTGGAATAAATCAAAGTTGTTGGGTCCAAGTGGAATAAGTCCAAACCTCAAGCAGTGTAACTCAAATTCTTCCTCAATTATTTGAGTTTACTTGGAAGAAATCAGTACCTGAGGAGCAGGAGTCTCGATAACCTTAGGAGCAGCCAACTTCGCTGGAGATCCCTCAAATAAACGAGAGCACTCCGTGTATGCGGATCCAATGCCCAATCCAGCGCCAAAAGCTACAGAAGCCCAGCGACTCACAGGACTCCCTAGTAAGACACATCAAAAGTACATTGATTAATTCAAGATTGCTAATTTTGGGAGATTTAAAGCATATACTCGGTTCAATAAAATGAAAAAACAAAATTGGTCTCAAGCTCATGATAATTAGGTAGAGCATTCAATGAAATCAACAATCTGCCAAGGGGAAAGGGGGAAAAAGAACTGTAAAAATATGGTTACTCCTGATTTTTATGCCTTTGAAAGTCCTGCCCTTCATGGCTTATGAACTATGCTACATGGCCTCTGGTAAGAATACTAGATGCAGGTACATGCCCATATGTTGGATTAGTTTGATTTTATAACATTTCCATGAATCCAGAGTGCCTAGTGGTCATAATTTTTACGATTGGCACATCCTGTCGCAGGAATATGGCAGGTGAACTGAGGGCCAACATAACGTAGGTTATGAATTCTACCAAATTAATTAGATGTATCTACCATATCCTTCTACATATTAGGCATGGATCCCACTCACTTCCATTAGAAATCCCTAAATATTACTTTACACAGTATGCTTCGTTTTTAGAAATTGTGTAAAAGGAAATCATTTTGCAATGATATAAGCAGCTCAACCTACTCCATTCTCAACCTAAATTAAGAAATCCTAGAAAAGGGTAATTTGGGATGGTGGACGAGGGTGGTCAGCTCTGACACCTGTGTTGTGAGAGTTTCCTGAACTTGAACAATCCATTTGTAGTCCATCTCTGTTTAGTGTGTCTTGCCAGGCTTAGTTGAAGCCATACAATTGACACAAGGCTTGCAGACAAAGACAGTTGAAAATTTCAAGCCCAAGGAAAAACGAAAACTTGCTCTGATGCCAAATTTGATGTAGGATATGGGTGAATTGAGTGTTTAGGTAATTTAGCAAAAGTGAAAACAATTTTAAAAAACAGAAAATATATGATAAGGATGTAAGCCAAAGGGTTTGTCACCAAGAATTCTCCAATCTCTGGAAACTAAACTCTTCTCAATATCTCAACAACTGAATTTTAAAGAGCTACATGGGGTGTATTTATAACAATCTAACCCTAGAGTGAAAAAGAAATTAAACTTATTAGCTCACCCTCTGGGACATAAACACCATTAATGAAACTTTTTAGATAAAAACAAAATCTCATGAGGTGATAGCAAAGAAGCCAAACGGGGTAATGAGCAATTAAACAGACAGGTAAAGGGAAAAGGAAGAACTGACTGAATAAAAGGAGACCACCAAAGGCACCGCCCAAGGAAGAGTAGACGAAGCGCCGGACCGTCAGATCGAGACACGCGTCCCATTTGGCGTTCACATCGTACTGGGGTGGGAAGAATTCTTTGTTGTCTGCCATTGCCTCCTGCTTTAGATTTGCTTCTTTTGTGTTTGGATCGGTTTCTTTGTTGCAGCTGAGTCTGATTTTGTGAGAGTGAGGGTTAGAGGTCTCTTCTTGCTTGCGCTTGATAATCTGTGATTTTGGGGGGTTTGGGTCCGGTTATGCTTTTGGTCCTTAGCTTTTGAGCTGCATTGTTTTTGGGCTTTATTTGGATGAAAATTGGGCATCTTCACAGGGCTTAACAAGTAGGGCAATTGTGACGAAAACTTCCCAAGAGTTAGGGCCCGTTTGAGTAGGGGTGGATTTGGATTTGGGCTCTTAAATTTTTTTTTCGGATCCAAAATTAATTTGGACAGCAGAGAAAAAAATTTCTTGCACGAGAAACGAGTCAAATTTACCCATTAAGTATCCATTTGGCATTGCTTTTTTAGGGTTATAAGTGATTATTTTAAAAGTTTGGGAAGCCTAGTCCGTTTGATAAACTATGAGAAAATCACTTATTGTTAAAAATTACTATGAGAGAAAGCTATAAGAGAAAGCAGCTAATAAGGTGCTTTCATTTTCTGATTATGCAGGAATCAGTTTCGAAGAGGCGTTGGGTTTAATGATTATGCAGCAATTATTTTCTAATTATGCTGGAATCAGTACCAACAACACTTTTAACAAAAAGTTTACCAAACGCCAAACAACTTTATCTCACAACTAATTTCTCTCACAACAAATTTGACAGCGATTATTTTCACAGAACAGCAATGTCAAACTGGCTCTCT